AAGGACACATCATCCATCAGGCGGATTCCAAAAACCGAATTCCTATACCGACCTAAGCTACTCAGAAACGTCCATTCCGAGAACGCGCACATGATACAGGCCAGAGGGGGGCTCATGCTGTTGCCCATAGGGATGCCCAATTCTTGTTTCAGCACGATATCAGATGCTCAGGTGTAGGTGAAAGACAGGCTGAAACATACAAAATTCCAGAGATCAAGAAAACATAGCCTAGTCCACCCTTTCTCTTGTGCACCTTGTCCCACAGATGCGCCTTTTCCTCTAGGATTCACCCACACTTCCTTTCTTCCCTTCTCCGCATGCCATTCCAGGAGATACGTAATGGCTCTGAGGATCGCACGATGTGGTAAACGCGAGAACATGTCCTTAATATCATAGGATGCTCCCATGATTACCACACGGGGTCCTCTTCTTCTTACTGCTCGATTGATCAATTCGAGTCGTCCTCCCAAATCGCCGACGGAATTAAGGTTGAAATGGAGATGTGGGGGTAAGAGGTTGAGAAGTAGGTTCAACCCCTTAGCGACTTTCCGACTTCCCAGCGCACAAGGTTCACTGAAGGTTGGACAGATAGGGCGATATCGGTCTAGATCCTTATGTTTCGGGATAGCGTAACCCAGACCAATCTTGCCGCCATTGTCCAATCTCCCGACCAAATGCAGTCTCTTCGAAAAATAGGCCGAGCGCTCTTCTTTCATGTCCTCCTCAGAACGGTCGTCACGATCCACTACATATCCACTACTGCGAACAAACAAATCACTCATAGCCTCATGATACAAGCGAGGGCAGAGTACGACCGTCTTGCCTGGGTTACGGCCGGCTGGGGTCAATACAAGTCCTCGGAACAACTTTTTCACGCGTAGCACGTCCTCCATGGGAATTTCCTCAGTGTGACGTCTAGAGTGGTTGAAGCAGCTAGCAGCCTCCTCGAAACTGCAATCCATCCTCACCAAGTTACGAAACGACCAAGTGTTAAAGCTTTGCATGATTTCTTGTCTTAGAAGGTCAACTCGGCGCGGTTTCGTGACTCTGGGAATATTGCATGCACTATAGATCGACGAGGGCACCCGGGGATCTTCCTATATGCGACAACGAACGTGGCCTTTGGACCGTGGAAGCGGAAAGGATCGAGGAAGTGAGGAGATCTAAGGACGTACGTTGAGAACGGATATGAGTGTTTCTGCATGTCACCTCTATTGGAAACGATGACTTCATCCAGTCAACAACCGAGATCAGATGAGGGGAGAGGTGAAAATCCTTCCAGTCGGAGGGGACCTCCACAATGCTACTCTTGCAAGGAGTATGGACACTATGCTCGTGACTGCGGGACCTTCTGGAAAAATCGCCACGAGGAGAGCCAAAGGCGGTATCGGGAGGGAGCTTCGACATCAGGAGGTGGTTTCCAGGACCACTCTCAAGCTCGATCGACTTCACCGCGTCGTAAGAGGTGAGAACCCCCACGACGCTCCCCGTCTGCTGGCCCGCGGTATGCTCCACGACGGGACGAACCGAAGGATGCAGCTGGCGAATTGGTGGCCATGTTACTTGCCAACGAAGAAGCCAAGAAACAGAAAGAAAAAGAAAAGGAAGAACGCAAGAAAGCATGACGTGAGGAGATGGAGAAAGCCGAGAGAAGGAAGCGCAAGGAGGACAAACGAGCAAGAGAGAAACAAGAAAACGATATGCGGGTTGCTCGAAGTGTCGATATGCAACTCTCCAAGAGGTGGGGCGCCTTGCAGGAGGAGCGCGATCACGAAAATCGAAGCCGGAGGAACAAGCAGAAAGAAGAATATAAGCAAAAATTGGGACTAGTTACGAACTTACGAGTGTTAGGAGACTAGGATATCTCGCCCCTATGAGCTCCGAGGAGGATGTTGACGAGCTGCAACGGAGAACCGAACGGATGGAGCTTAGCTCTGACTCATATGGAGACGAAAGTGACGATGTGACGCCCAACCTCACGCCCAGCGCGACTTCCTGATCGGAGTCGAGTGTGGGCCTGGAAGTGCGAAAAGGGGTGTGCCAAGGATTTTTGGGAAAGTGGGGGAGTCTCAAGTGTATGATTGCAATTAGGCGAATGAGGGGTGCGTGTGCAAGGAACTCAAGGCCCGATGGGGCCCGGGCACTGTGGTCGACGAGTTACAGGGAAATCCCTCCGCGGTGGAGGCGGTCCCGAAAAGTTAGGCCGTCGGGGGCCGCCACGTAACGCAGGCCGCCGCGTACTGGGACTAGGCCTTCGGAATTCCGGAGTTCTCCGTTCGCCGCGACGTCGGCAATTCACACAAAACGTATTGGGCCAATAGGGGGCTATGGCCGGCCACGGAACGACACTGAGTTGATGATACGGGAGAAGAAGGCGGAAAGGAGGGAAACTGGTGGTGATGACAACGAATCCCAGGTGGGTGAAGTAGTAGGTGTGGTTGGGGGAAAGGAAATCAGAGCACCTAGGGTCGCTAGAGGTGGCGCAGTGGAAATCCCGCAGACACAGTCGATTCTCCGTGTGGCAGGGGTATCGCGTTCTTATGAGCTCGTTTATCAAAGGGGTGAAATAGTCCGGGTCATAGGAAGAGTCTGAGCTCCAAGATCGCGTCATGGTATCATCGTCGACAGAATAGCTCGGGTCGAAATATCGTTACCGCGCACGAGCACGTGTAGGGCAGGCAGACTCAGTGGCGCCTCAGCGTGCTCGTACGGGATGGTTCCGCCGCGAATCCATTTTGGGTGAGCGAATCGGCGTACGGGAATGCGTGTAAGGGCACGACTCAGATCGCGTCTACACGTGTTCTCGCGCAGCGTTCGCGGGGCCTGACTTCGAATCGTCGATTATGCAAGATGCAATCATATCACAACCCCCATCGCGGGATAAGCAAAAACGAGAGCAAAATCGTTATCGGGGCCAGATTCTCACCCCATCTGCAGCTGCATCAGGTGTGGGCGAAGTTTTGACACCAACAAAAGGCAAGGACAGGGATTCTCAGCAAAAAGATAGACAAGCAGGCATAACGACCACACATCCATACATTCGATACTCATATACATAATGCAATCAGGATGGACATATCAAGACAAGTGCGAGCAAAACCCCAAGCTCAGATTTCAGAAAGCCGAAACAAAAATAAGAACAGGTAAAACCGCCTGGAGCCGCAATCAAAATGTATGTACACAAATGAAGAGGGGGAAGAGACAAAGAAACAGCAAATCCGCGTCCATCGACCTCAACTCTCTCCTTCTCTCCCTCTCTCCGATGCGGACAGTCCGTCGTCGCGCCCCAACCCACGAAGTTGTCACCCCGCTTAGTCCTCCCGCACCCGTCGGATTTGCCCGTGCCCACAATCCGTCGTGGCCCACGTCAATCCCGTGCGTTCGGCACCAGCCCGTCGGGTCGCCCAACTCCTACTCTACTCACCTCTTACTTCGCTCGTGTGCTGACCCTTCCTGATCGCGCAACCTCGAGCTTCCAACAACGGGTCCAGAGAGTTGACTAATCGCGCAGCCGAAATTTATAGCGGGCATGCATGCGCAAAGAACACAGAATTACTAGGACTTAGAGAAAGGATTAGAGAGGGAACACCTGCGTTCTACATGATCGGCCGCGGCGTGGGGGACGTAACCCTTCTCCACGCATCGATCCGAGCATGCAAGCCGCGACTTACAAAAGTTCAGCAAAAGAAAGAGAGGGAGGGCGGGAGACACGAAGTGCAAGAAGAGAGATACAGTTACAATGGCGCCCGCCCAAAATTACAGTTACACATACGATTAAGGGCGCCCACTAATCAGAGTACCGTTGCAGCCGCATGAAGAAGCGCGTAAACAAAAGGCGCCGCGCGGCAGGAAATGTCCTAATTACTGAATTCCTAAATTCCTATCTACTGCGAAAAAGCAAAAAGCATAAATTCCAGAGGGAAAGTCCAAAAATTACGAGAGCCATTGGGGGCTCGACCAAATTCGAAAAAACGATTCAAAAAGAAATTAAAAAAGAACGAAGCAATTTCCCGCGCGATGTCCGCGCCCAAAAGATCGAAACCGAATCAAAAGAAACGACGTCAACATTTATTAATCGCGTGCACGCGTGGCATCGCGCCAAACAACCATCCGACCAATCAATCCACCAACCGTCCCAAGACACACCCGACCCCGTGCCCGGCCATTCGGAAAAAAAAGAAAAAACGAAAAAGGACGAAAAAACGAGGACACTAATGCAATTCTCCACGGATAACGATCTCCCGTAATTGGCCCCATCTTCCCAGCTTAGGACCCCTCATTGCAACCGTGCAGAAAATCGCGCGTTACAGAAAGTGGTTCGTCACATATGTGACGCCCAGGGGGTTCCAATATTAGCAAGCTCCTGCTTGCTTGTTGACACATGTCGATTTCTCTAATCGATCGACACGCGGAGCATTTTCCTTTATGTCACTTACCGTTCGATTGCGTGTGGACGTCATCCAACGTGGCAACGCTACTCTTCTACTAGTTCCTCAGACTGGGCTCTCGACGATCTAAGGACGAGATCTTTCTCGTGCCGTCGCTGCGACACGCGCCCATTACCGTTGCATCAGTAGTTAATCAGAAGGGGGAAGGGAAGGCGATACGCGTATGAGGGAGGGCGGGGCTGCTCCATCGTAAGCTCGGGTATGAAGCGCCCGATCGCAGTGAGGTCGTAGGGAGGTTCTTGAAAATGGACAATGCGATGGAAGTGGGGGAATCGCTGGCCGCTGCGGGGAAGGGAAGCGAGGTAGTCTGGGTAAAGGGAGACGAGGGTTCTGAGGACGTTTGTGCGGAACCGATCATGGTCCTCGCACGCGGGAAAGATCCCCGTAACGATGCAGTAAACCTCTATATGGTTACGGCCTTGCCACGCGGCGCTAAGGAGTAGAACGTGGAGGGGGTAATCGGGGACAGCACACCGAAAGGAAGGGTGGGGGTGGACAGTCAGTTCTAGGCGGGCGGAGTAGAAATGTCAGAAGGTGGCGACGGGGAAGGGATTATGGGGGTAGACGACGCGATGGAAGTACTGATTGAAAGAGTGATAGCTAAGGGGATGGTGGTATATGGATCGGGGACGAAGGGCTAAGCCCCTCGATGACACGTTGACGAATTGAGGGACGAGCGGAGGCAGAGGGGGACGTGGACCGGGATCGGGGTCGGCGCCTTGTCGTCGCGGCTCTTGAGGTCGTGGCAGCAAGGTCTCCATGCTCTAGCTTGGGCGGCTCGGGATCCTGGAAAGGATTGTTCGGTGCGGGATCGACCACCAGCCGCTTTCCTTCCGTGATTTCTTTCTTGCGCTGCGCAGCAGCCTCAGGGTTTTCCTCTCGTTGATCCGGTCCTGGCACCCACTCGAGCTCGTGGTGCGTTGGCTTCGGGTCGTCCCCGCTTTCCACTTCTTCGTCCTCCTCCTCACTTTGCTCGCCCTCGCTGTACTCACTATAGGCCTCTTCCTCTTCCTCTGAAGTCTCCTCCTCTGCTTCTTCTTCTTCTTCTTTTTCCGCTTCTGCCGACTCTTCTTCTGCTTCGCGCTCTTCTTCCTCCTCCTCCTCCAATCGGGCCGCTACTTCCCCGACCTCTCTCCTCAATTCTCCTTCCGATTCTTCTTCGGCCTCCTCTTCTGCTCTCAGCGCCGCCCACTCGAACGCCGCTGGTTGCCGAAATAAGCGGGGATTAGTCAGGCTGTGGACGTCCAGGTACTAGCTACGGGAGGGAAAACGGTCGTCCGCCCAGCGCTCCTCAATACAAGTCGACCATTGGAGGCTCAGGGCGAGAGTCCTTGAGAGGATATGTGGCACGGGTTCTTCGTCGCTCTGAGAGACGATGTCGAGGGGGAGTTCGTCGGCCAATCGCGCGATCACGATCGTAAGTTCGCGCACGATCTGTGATCGATTTCCCCGATCCACTGCTCCAAAGACGAATCCCAGAAGATCTCCCGCCACGTTGGTCCTCCACGCCTGAATGACGAGCAACTCCACAATCTCCGAGGCGGGCCTCTGATCGCCTTCCCACGTCCAGTTCAGATTCACTCGTAGCAGGCAAAACGAGAGCTCGATGAATTCTGCACGCCACAGCCCCCAACGGTCCGGATCAACGATGGGTACTGTCAGCGGCTCCAGACGGAAGGAGAGACGAGGGTAGTGAGAGGACTGCCAGAAGATGGGGAAGAGAGAGGGAGGAGAGAACGTCGAGATCGGCGCGCGGCTCATCTGCGCGGCTGGAAGGGAGCAAGTTCTGGGAGGACGACAGGTGGTTCGCGTAGCGTCAAGCACGGCGTGTTGACTTTGATGCCGTCGACAGGATAGCACTCGTCACCGTGCCTTGTGAGTCATCGATCCCAATCAGTGGCCAGATCGCGACCCCACCGGTACAAGGTGCTTTTGATGGCGGCTTGCCGCGCCGGATCGAAGGCGGTGATGTCGCCGCTGAAGACTACCACGGTAGACACGTGGCTGATTCCCTTGGCCGCTCGCCGCTGGAACGTTGTCGCCTCGGCCAGCACTACTACCTGGGGATTGCTCGTGAATCGGAACTCTGCCGCGCCGTATACACCCGCAGTGCAGAAGAACTGCGCAAGGCGCATGAAGTCGGGGCTGATCTGCGGATGATGCACTCGGCGGATGGCTGAGATCTCTACCCGTGGCATCGGCAACTGATCACTGAAAGCTCGCTCGATGGCGAAACTCATGGCGATGGCGGGGGTGATGGGGTGACAGAGAGGGAGCAGGAAAGAGAGGGAGATGGCGGAGAGTCAGAGTCGTCGTCGTCGGCTTCCTCAGAAGGAGAGATCGAGGGAGAAGGAGACGGATCAGATGGAAGGAGGCGAAGATAGGACACGTGGCGTATGATCAGACGAGCCGATCGACTACTAGAGACTTCAGGGGCGAGACGCACGGTGTCCACGTCGTTGGGGCCGAGCTCGATTACGCGATATCGCCCGAAGAATCGTGGCGTTAGCTTACCCTGGCGAGCACATTTCCTCACCTGCACCACGTCCCCCAATTTGTACTGGGGTCGTGGACCCGCATTCCCATTTCGGGCCTCGTAGCTCCGGACCTGTCGGCCTTGGGCTAGTTCGGTCATTTTCTGTTGCTTTCGGGCTAGCCTAGGCAGCGACCGTTCCATTAACTCTAGGTGTCGTTTGGCCTTGTCCCGAGCCGTGGCCCTGGTGGGCCGTCGGTTCAATGTAAACTCATCCGGGAGACTTGGTATCGAAACGCAAGCGACACTATTGGTTCTTAATTGGAAGGGGCTCAGTCCCATCGATTCGTGGGGCGTTCCGCGATGGACCGCCAAGATGTGATCGACGATATCGGGCCAAGGTCTCGGATCCCGTGCCACGATGTTTCGTCGCAACGATGTCTTTATCACCCCGTTAGCGTTTTCGACCAGCCCATTGGATTGTGACATGTGGGGTGCAGTGTTCCGTGTGGCGACGCCATGTAGGACCAGATTCCTTAACACTTCTCCCCTGAATTCAGCCCCGTTATCGGTCAGGATCTCTTCTGTATCCTGATGCATCCCGAGGAAACGGTTGACGTATCGCGCGATTTCCGTGGCTTGCCGCGTGCGACAAGGGTACGCTTCGATCCATTTCGAGAAATGGTCGACAAATACCAATAGGACTGAATATTCGCAACTATTAGGGCCAGGGGGCACCACTATGTCGGTAGTGTCCATGCTTACTCTCTGAAATGGCCGTTCAACAACCGTGGGCACTATCGACCTTGGTGGCTGAATCGGCGCTTTATCAGCGGCGCAGACTTGACAGTTGGCGATGATATTGGACCAGTACCACTCATTTTTGTCGATAGCGGACTCTGTGATTCGTACAGCAAAATGAGCCGCAGTTTCCTCGTGGGCTGTCTTAACCCAGTCATACCGCATGAACGGATGCGGCACTATCATCCAAATCCCACTACCGTCCGTTTTCTGTTTTTCTAATCTACCTTCTATCCATCGATAATCCCGAGCCCTTTCGTTGGCCCTCCTCCGATCTTCCTTGGTGAAATCCTGGAGGGGGTTACCTACTAGGGTGGCAATTAAGGCAATATCCGTCCATACTTCGGCCCTTCTAAACTTCCGGGTCTTTTCCAACCCTTATGACGTGGCATCCAAAAAGCGAGCCTCGGTCGGAATTTTGTCGGTCCGGCACAAGGGGCACAACCACGGTTTACTATCGTTCCTATATTGGATGCACGAGTCATGGGCTCGTGCAACACACTGTCAGCAATCTATCCAATTCGCATACCCTTCCCCGTTAGGACGCATGGAGACCGAATAGGCGCGGGAGATGGCTTCACAAAAATAGCAAAATTTGTCAGGCAGGGAGAGAAGAGACGAGGAGGAAGGGGGAGAAAGAGGGGTAGTGGGGTTACCTCCATCACCCATCGCCACCGTTTTACTTCTTGCCACGCGGAAGAACTGCCACTTGTTCGTACTTAGGCTCGTTGGTCAAATCCGGCTCTTTCCACGGTGTAATTTCCTCGCCCTTTGGTACCTTGGCAGGTCGATGCAGACGTGTCAGCCTGTCCGCGTTGCCGTGTCGCTCTGTCTTCCGATAGACCATATCGAAGTCGTATTCTTGTAGTCGCACCGCCCAACGGCCAATCATGCCCGTGTAGTTGGTAAGTTTCTTCAGCGCCAGCAGAGGCTCGTGATCCGTTACGAGGCGAAACTTCTGTCCGTAGAGATACGGATGGAAGTGTTGGATTCCCCAAACTACCGCGTAACACTCACCCTGAGGTGCGTAGTCGTTTCTTCGTTCGTCCGGCACGGTTCGTGACGCGTACTCGATGACGTGTTCGTGACCATCGTTCCCCTTTTGCGCTAGAATAGCGAAAATAGCCTCCGGTTGCCAGTCCGCGATGAGAATGAACTGCTTCGAGGGGTCCGGTCGAATCAAAATAGGGGCCGTTGCCAGAGCGTCCTTGAGGGTTGCAAAGGCCTGTTGGCACTCCGCGTCCCAGCTGAGAGGTTGGTCCTTCCGTAACAGATTCGTTAGTGGTCGTGCAATCACGGCAAAGCCCTTGATGAAGCGCCGGTAGTACGACGCCAGTCCCAGGAAGGCTCGAACTTGCGTCAGTGACGTGGGAACCGGAGCTTCCTTCACTGCCGGAACTTTTCTCGAGTCCGGCCGCAATCCTCCACGTGTCCTGGCGTAGCCTAAGAACGAAATTTCCGAGAGGAAAAATTCGCTCTTCTCAAGCGCAATCTTGAACCCAGCGTCTCTCAATGCACCCAATGTCCATTCGATATGTTGCACATGCCCGTGATAGGTTTCCAAGTACACCAGGATGTCGCCCATGTACACGATCATGCAAAAGTTAATCATCCCTTGCATCAGCCGTGTTTTGTTGATGAAGTCTTGGAACGTCATGTTCATCTCTTGCTAAAACGTGGCAGGCGCATTGCAAATCCCCATCGGACACCAAACACTGCCACGTGCCCCTCAAACAACACAAAGGTCGTTTTCGGCCGATCTTCTTCCCTTACCAGAATATGATGGAAGTCATGCCGATTATCAAATTTGATGAAATAATTAGCGCATCCAATAGCATCCAACAGATCATCAATCCGGGGGAGGGGATACACATCTTTGATCATGATTTTATTCAGCTTGCAATAATCAATGGAAATGCGAATTGCTCCGTTCTTCTTCGGTACTAACACTACGAGAAAAGACCAAGGTCCAGTAGCGGGTTCAATCCATCCGCAGGCTTCGAACTCCCAAATTCGTTCGAGAACCTTTTTGCATTCAATCAAGGAATAGCGATAAGGTTTGCAATAAATCGGGGAGTGATTTCCTGTCTGAATTTCATGTTGGATTACTAGCGGTAACCCAATGTCAATGTCTGACACACTAATTGCTCCTTAATATTCCATTAGAATATCCGCAATTACCCGGTGGATTTCATCCGGCACATATTGTGGAACGTGCAGTTCAAAAAGTTGGTCCCAGATCCGAACGTCAATCTGTTTCGTGTTCGCCTGTTTTGTCAAGTCGGGTGGGGGCGCCGAGATGAATGAATGATCCGATCGCCAGGAGAATACCGTGGCCATCATCTGAGCATCTTCTTCTCGGATTGCCATGTGTCCTTCCGGGGTAATCCCGTCACAAACATCCTGCCATGGCACTTCCTTAGTTGCGATCTTTATCTCCAGTCCGTCTGTTTCTGCTTCAAAACGCCCAGGGGGTTCCAGAGAGCTTGCTTCCGCCCCCAAACGTAACAATCTCACTTCTTTAGTCGAGGTTAGTAAGAACTTGGGTAGATCCGTAATGTCACCGTAGTGCTTCTTGTCGCTATACCGGGCGAGGAGAGGTGTGATTCCTTCGTACAGAGTTTGAGGGGGTTCCAGAGAATCGACCATCCTCGAAATCTGCACGAGGGGCTCACCCAAGATCATCGCCTTGGTCCTTTGAATTTTTCGGCTGGTCAGTTGCATCGTTCTCGCTATCGTTTTGGGCGGCGGGTAACAAACACATTGTCGTGCAAATTTCAAGATCTCCGGATCATCCTCGTCACTGCTTTCCACATCATCTGTTGATGACTTCTCCTCTGCGGATTTCTCCCAGGAGATCACGCGGAGAGTCCCTGCCATCATCGATGAAACCCGCGGAACCGCGTTAATAGTAGTGCGAAGGGTCAATCGCATGGGCACAGCGTAGGGTTTTCCTCCTATATTTCGGAGGACGATCGATCATCGTTCGAAGTCCAGGTTTGCTCGTAATGCCACAAGAGCGGGAAGTCCGAAGAGAACGCCGTACGTATTGACATCTAGTACTACGACATCCCCAAGCGCATGCACTTTACCCAATCGGAAAGCGACATTGGTCATTCTTCCCACAGCTTTAATTCTCTCTTCGTCAGCCGAAACGAGCTGATCTTTCTCAGAAAGCATGATCAGGTCGTTTTTCCTACCTGCCCTTTCGACCACTCTCAGTGAGATAGCCAACACAGCTCCTCCCGAATCTATAATAGCATTGTAAGGAATTCCCCAAATTTCTATATCGCATTCGACGGATTTCCACGGAATTGGTTTAATCCGCAGGAAATGATCATCTTTCTGGATTAAACCTACCCGTATCGGATCCGAAGTACTTGCGGGGTTTTCTTCGGGCGCGGGGCTTTTGGCTTTCACGTTCGGGGTTCGGGCAAGGCCGAATCGCTTTCGGTTCGCTTTGCAATGCTATAACATTCGCTCGTTGGCTTGCTCGGAGATGGAGAGCAGATGACCAATCGGGAGGGGAATCCGATGGTCCAAAGCTCGGATGATGTTTAATACATCGATCTCCCCTGTGACGAAGGTGGGTCCTCCCGACTCCATTTCTCCTAGGGACAGTCGCTACTCTGCCACCTCTTTTGGTTCTGGCGCTGGTCTGATTCTCCCGATCATTCCAAGCCCAGGATATCCCAGCGACACATACTGATCTAGCGGAATTAGCTCGGCGGCCTCTTCCGTAGTGGCCAGGGCACTTCCCCCACCCTCTACCTCTTCCATCAAGGCTCCGACTCGTCCAGGTCCGTTGGCGATGGGGGCCGCGACCGTAGGTGCGACTCCGATTCGCTGTTGTGGGGGTCGGTGGGGGCAATCACGGGCTAGATGTCCGGGCTGATGACAGGTGTAGCAGACATTCAGATTGTTCGCAGCTCCCCCGAGAGCAGGGGCTGGGGCTAATCCTTGCTGCATCGGAGGGGCACGCACCGCAATGGGTCGCATGTTCCTCATCATGGCTTTCAGCCGACCATTGTGCTCTCGTTGCTCCTTTTTGCTTTCTTTCGGGCCGGAATGTTGATCTGTGCTTCGTGATCATCGTACAGCTGTGCTCTAAGCGTGGCCAGCCATGCTCCTGCAAGATGGTGCGCCGGATCAAATAGATAGAGATCTGGTGGCGACATGGGAGCTCGTGCACGTGGGTTAGGTTGATTGGCTGGATTAGCATTTTGTTTGGGAACCGGATTTTGCACATTGGCAGCCATATTGGCTGCTCGCCGGTTAGCCGATCTGCTTCTGGTGACGATAGGGTCGCGTCTATGCGCGTTCCGAGGGCGAGGTCGCCCACGGTTAGCCAGGTCGCCTAATTAACGTGCTATCAATCCCAAGACCCTAGCCACGTATCAGGCTCCGATACCAACCTCACGCCCAGCGCGACTTCCTGATCGGAGTGGAGTGTGGGCCTGAAGGTGCAAAAAGGGGTGTGCCAAGGATTTTTGGGAAAGTGGGGGAGTCTCAAGGGTATGATTGCAATTAGGCGAATGAGGGGTGCGTGTGCAAGGGACTCAAGGCCCGATGGGGCCCGGACACTGTGGGCAACGAGTTACAGGGAAATCCCTTCACGGTGGAGGCGGTCCCAAGAAGTTAGGCCGTCGGGGGCCGCCACGTGGCGCAGGCCGCCGCGTACTGGGACTGGGCCTTCGGAATTCCGGAGTTCTCCGTTCGCCACGACGTCGGCAATTCACACAAAACGTATTGGGCCAATAGGGGGCTATGGCCAGCCACGGAACGACACTAAGTTGATGATACGGGAGAAGAAGGCGGAAAGGAGGGAAACTGGTGGTGATGACAACGAATCCCGGGTGGGTGAAGTAGTAGGTGTGGTCAGGGGAAGGGAAATCAGAGCACCTACGATCGCTAGAGGTGGCGCAGTGGAATTCCCGCGGACACAGTCGATTCTCCGTGTGACGAGGGTATCGCGTCCTTATGAGCTCGTTTATCAAAGGGGTGAAATAGTCTGGGTCATAGGATGAGTCCGAGGTCCAAGATCGCATCATGGTATCATCGTCGACAGAATAGCTCGGGCCGGGATATCGTCGCCGCGCACGAGCACGTGTAGGGCAGGCAGACTCGGTGGCGCCTCAGCGTGCTCGTACGGGATGATGGTTCCGCCGCGAATCCATTTTGGGTGAGCGAATCAGCGCACGGGAATGCGTGTAAGGGCGCAACTCGGATCGTGTCTACACGTGTTCTCGCGCGGCGTTCGTGGGGCCCGACTTCGAATCGTTGATTATGCAAGATGCAATCATATCACAACCCCCATCGCGGGATAAGCAAAAACGAGAGCAAAATCGTTATCGGGGCCAGATTCTCACCCCATTTGCAGCTGCATCAGGTGTGGGCGAAGTTTTGACACCAACAAAAAGCAAGGACAGGGATTCTCAACAAAAAGATAGACAAGCAGGCATAACGACCACACATCCATACATTCGATACTCATACACATAATGCAATCGGGATGGACATATCAAGACAAGTGCGTGCAAAACCCCAAGCTCAGATTTCAGAAAGTCGAAACGAAAATAAGAACGGGCAAAACCGTCCGGAACCGCAATCAAAATGTATGTACATAGATGAAGAGGGGGAAAAGACAAAGAAACAGCAAATCCGCGTCCATCGACCTCAACTCTCTCCTTCTCTCTCTCTCTCCGATGCGAACAGTCCGTCGTCGCGCCCCAACCCACGAAGTTGTCACCCCGCTTAGTCCTCCCACACCCGTCGGATTCGCCCGTGCCCACAGTCCGTCGTGGCCCACGTCAATCCCTTGCGTTCGGCACCAGCCCGTCGGGTCGCCCAACTCCTACTCTACTCACCTCTTACTTCGCTCGTGTGCCGACCCTTCCTGATCGCGCAACCCTGAGCTTCCATCAACGGGTCCAGAGAGCTGACTAATCGCGCAACCTAAATTTATAGCGGACATGCATGCGCGAAGAACAGCGAATTACTAGGACGTAGAGTGAGGATTAGAGAGGGAACGCCTGCGTTCTGCATGATCGGCCGCAGCGTGGGGGACGTAACCCTTCTCCACACATCGATCCGAGCATGCAAGCCGCGGCTTACAAAAGTTCAGCAAAAGAAAGAGAGGGAGGGCGGGAGAGACGAAGTGCAAGAAAAGAGATACAGTTACAATGGCGCCCGCCCAAAATTACAGTTACACATACGATTAAGGGCGCCCACTAATCAGAGTACTGTTGCAGCCGCATGAAAAAGCGCGTAAACAAAAGGCGCCGCGCGGCAGGAAAAATCCTAATTACTGAATTCCTAAATTCCTATCTACTGCGAAAAAGCAAAAAGCACAAATTCCAGAGGGAAAGTCCAAAAATTCTGAGAGTCATTGGGGGTTCGACCAAATTCGAAAAAAAGATTGAAAAAGAAATTGAAAAAGAACGAAGCAATTTCCCGCGCGATGTCCGCGCCCAAAAGATCGAAACCGAACCAAAAGAAACAACGTCAACATTTATTTATCGCGCGCGCGTGTGGCATCGCGCCAAACAACCATCCGACCAATCAATCCACCGACCGTCCCAAGACACACCTGACCCCGTGCCCGACCATTCGAAAAAAAAAGAAACGACGAAAAAGGACGAAAAAACGAGGACACTGATGCATTTCTCCACCGATCCTGATCTCCTGTAATTGGGCCAGTCTTCCTAGCTTAGGACCCCTCATTGCAACCACGCAGAAAATCGCGCGTTACAGAAAGTGGTTCGTCACAACGACGCACCTGCTGCCACCCCGATATCGAGGACCTCTCCGAGAACCGCTACTGGCAGGAAGTCTCTGGTCATAGTCAGTTGAGCGTCTTCGATCATCACCTTCCCGTCGTACGTTCCTTTAATTACTCCACTTCTTCGATCCTCCACACGTCGTAAGTCTTCGATCGTAATCGAAACCTCGAAAGTCTTCGGTCTTCACCTTTCACGGTGAAACTTAACCACCGGTCAAAGCAGCAATCCTCCGTCAGTTATTAAGGGCTTGCGCAAAGGGCTAAACATGCATGCGCCACACGTACTCGAAGCACACGAGACACATTGTCACACAATGACGAAAAATTCAGCAATGCTCCATATGAGCTTAGGGTGATGATGATAGAGGTTTGTCACCCTTCTGACATAGCTCCCGACACGTGTTTCGGCCACGTGTCAGTCGTGGCCTCCTCAGGGGATAACACCCCTTCCTTCTACGAAGACTACCTCGTGTCACCACTTCCCCAGAAACTGCCGGTGGCAACAGGGACATAGCCCAACTGCAAGCAACAGCGAACAGTGAAGTACGACACGTGTTTCGGCCACGTGTCAGTCGTGGCCTCCTCAGGGGATAACACCCCTTCCTTCTACCAAGACTACCTTTTGTCACCACTTCCCCAGAAACTGTCGGTGGCAGCAGGGACATAGCCCCAACTGCAAGCGACAGCGAACAATGAAGTACCGCTGAAAGAGGAATACTAAATCGCGAAAGGGCGATATATAGTAAGACCTCGATCAGAGCACACGCAAAACACACACAAACAAATAAATAAAACAAAACAAAAGGAAATAGTTGTGCCGCCTACCACCCTACAAATTCTGCGAAGCCTATAGAAAAACATACGGCCTACTTGGACAAGTTGAAATGCCGCTAGCCTGAACAAACAAAGCACCAGACAAGGCTAGCCGTTAAATTCCAGATTGGGCCCCTTTTCCTTGCAAAAGTTTCCAGCACCTGAGAAAAGAAGGTGTCAGAAAATCCTTTGCGGTTATAGGCCGTGCGGAGCAAAAGAACTTGGCCCGGGATCTTTTCCCGTACCGAAGTATTGCGATCGATTCGATTTAGCCATCCAGACATGGCTGCCGCTTTCATACTCTTGGTGGACCAGGACCCAAAATCCTGGCCTGCCCGGATGGACAGTTGTTGTCCCAGTATCGGTTCCTCCTCATTACGAATCCTCTTGAAGCAGCCAACAAAGGGGT